GATCTGCAGATCTACACACAAGCTTCACTTCATGAATTACCAGATGCTGTTGCTCTAATTAACCGCGACATGGCACGAATTAGCGATTGGAGCATGAAATATGGCCTGCGTATTAACCCATCCAAAACACAGGTGACGGTTGTCGGCAGTTCAAGGGCTGTCTCCAGAATTGACTGGTCTACTCTTCCCCAAGTATCTCTGCTTAACACAAAATTCCTTTTTCCTACGAAGTCAAGAACTTGGGGATTTATATTGACAGTACTCTCTCCTGGTCTAAACAGATGCAGGAGGTCAGTCGCAGAATGTTTGCCTCGGCGGGATCCTTGAGGCGTCTTCGAAATTTCTTGCCCACTACTACTAAAATTGCATTAGCACAATCCCTACTTCTACCAATCCTCGACTATGCTGATGCCAGCTATCTTGATCTCACCCAAGAACAATTAGACAAGCTTGAGCGCCTTCAAAATCTTTCTATCAGGTTTATATTTGGATTGCGCAAATATGACCATGTCTCCGAGTTCCGCAATAAGCTCAAATGGCTGCCTATTCGCCTTCGCCGGAATACTCACATTCTTTCACTTCTATACAATGTACTCTTTAATCCCACTACCCCTTTTTATCTAAAAGAGCGTTTTACGTACCTTGGCAACTCACATACGAAGTTTTTGAGATCATCGGAGAGCTTGAAATTAAACGTCTGTTTGCATTCCACTACATTTTTCGACAAGTCCTATACAATACAAGCAGCACGGTTGTGGAATGCTCTACCGATTGCAGTGAGGCGAGCTCAAACCATTTCACAATTTAAAAAACTAGTTAAAGAATTTTATCTAACTTTATAGTTTTTTCTTGTCTCCTACTTAACATGGTAACACACGTACACATACATGCATAAACGCACACACGCACACTTACACACCATTATGTATTATGTTCTATTTTATTCTTATTTATTTAGTTATTTATTTATTTATTATAACTTTTATGTAGGCATATACATACATATATTTATTTATATATATATATATATATATATATATATATATATATATATATATATATATATATATTTTATTTATACATATTATGGTTTACACTGTATTATTATTATTATTTTCTTTTAAAGTCTTTAACTTGTACACTTGACGACCCATATCTAACTCCTATTACAGCTCCATCCAAAGGTTGTCTGTAAGAGATCGCCTTGTGCGATAAGACCGCCCATTGTGCACTATATTAATTGTTGTTTGTCCTATGTGTTTATGTGGTGTACAATAAAGAATATTATTATTATTATTATTATATAAAGTGTCTTCTATATAGTGACTTATATACCTTACCTATGTAGACAATGTGCTTATATAGTCAAATTACCTTATGTATTATTTTATATATGTAAAACTGTCTTTAAATTATTTGAATCATCGTTTTGAAGAGTATGTGACCTACTTATTGTGAAGTCAATGAACGAAAATATAGTTTGTTTTGTAATAATATTTACAGCTAATACGCAACTTTAATTGTGTTTACTATATACATTAAGAAATACTATATCTGTGCCTATATTTATGAACTCAAGGCAATTGCTCAGCAGTTTTTTTACGACTTTATTTTATGCATAAACGTAAAGAAATATTGCAGAGAATTGCTGCTGTGATGCAACTATGCTGAGACGACTTATTTTTTTCCAATGAGTACTATATTCTTTAAAATGATGATTTAATTAAACAATACAATATTTGTAAGTATTTAGACACTCTTTGCTTATATTTATAAACCATGTTCTGAATTATTTCTTCTGAAATGAAATTTGTATTTAGTTGATGTCTTTTGCTTTATTAAATGGGATATAAGGTGAACTCCTTTATTAAAGTACATAATATTATACTTTCTGTTATATTACAAGGTATATTGGTATAGATATCTACTTAGATATACAAACTGTACACCGAGAAATCTATTTCGTTTTCGTCGCGCGGCAAAACAAATTGCCATAAGGAGTTGTACTTTCGATGTATAAAGTAAAAACCAAAAAAAGTAAAGAAATCATTTTTTTAGTTAAAAAAAAATCATGGAAATACGCCTATGAAACAATAAACGTACCTTTTGTACGTACTATTCGCATCACACGCACGTGCCATCCTACGACGAGAAATACCTCTTCGAAAATTACATAGTATGATGTTTTGATAATGTACTATGAATTCGTATGCGCTTTCAAAGTTCGCTTTTTGCAATGGTTCACCATTTATTTTTTGTTTTAAACATTTTATTCCTTTGGAAAACTATTGTATTACCAAGACAGAACCGTTTTACTTCGGGACGACAACGAAATAGATTTGACGGTGTATATTATGTAAACTTAATGCTAAAGATACACTAGGGGACAAAAGCCCCAAGACAAGACATGTATCGGTGAAAAGTCGAGCGAAGCCAGCCGATGTCGCCTGACATATGGTGATAACGCCCAACTTATGTCCACAATGACGTTGATGATGCCAGAAATGTCGACCAAAGTCCGACAACGTCGTTCTACTTCACCCGACGTCGCTGGCGATACATGTCGCAGGATATTTGTGCTCTAGTGTATCCTTGACTTAACTCTCAATACAATATGCCTCCTATTTACTATTGAGTCAATTTCTTAGTTTCATTTGTCACATCTAGATAAATCTTGTACGTAGTTATTTCACGTTTTCACGATCTTAAAGTAATTTTATGAATTGTTGTGAAGAGATCTATCGTTTATAAAAACTTATAAAAATGTCATATTAAATGTAATTGCCACTATAGTGCCCGGAATACCATTTTTATCTTTAACTTATTTAGATGTCGATATTTTCTCTTTGAAAACTTTAAAATTGTAAGTAAGCGCGTAAATGTTACTTCAAAATATTTTTCCGATGGTAACGTCCCTACCTATATATCAAAATGCTTTAGTTGCATAGGTACATATTTGTAAGTAATTTTTTGCATTTTTAGGTGGAAAGACGTAATGTCGTCATTAAAAAACGCCATAATAGGTACCCACATCGGTATCTATTGTTTTTAAATAACGAAGTCTTTAGCTAGTTATGGGAAAGTGCCCCCTAACTACGTTAAAAGTACCCTTCACACTTATATTCTTAAAGCAGATAATAATTTTCTTAAGTCAATTTTATTGTCAAAAGCCTTTTTGCAATTTGGATTTAATAATATGCACATCTATGTAGTCAATTAAGGGATACGAATTTTGTGCATTTTGTATATTTACTTCACTATTCTGACGTGGTTAGAAAAAAATTAAAAAATATACATAATTATAATTATACCAAAATGGGTATAAGTATAATGACGCTACTTTACACTGACGCTACAAAATTGTATTTGCTCCCTTTTTCTCTCCACGCCAGCTAATTAATGTATTGTTTGAAACGTCTCATAATTAATTATAAGTCTTAATTTAATTACTTTTCTAATCATTAGTGGTTAATAGGTTTAAAAGTCAATTTTTCGTCCTGAAAAGTCTTCTTGCCCGAACGGTTTTGGGCAAACGAATGACTGAAACATTGTTCGTGTGGAGACTGAACCAGAATATATATTATATTTACAAATATACATTCAATATTATACATAATCATTATTTTCATAGAACCCGTCAGTGTTGAAGCCAAAAAAGAGCGATATAATCTGTATTTGATGTACTGTGTTGCCTGTCTAATTATTTATTTGATTGTCTTACAATTACAACACATCAAATAACAGAATGTCTCGTTCAATATGAATAAAATAATAATTTTGTCATTTTTTAGGTAAAACGACAAAGTTTTGTTATAAAGCATTGGTAGTTATATACTTAGGTAAATGAAGTATTTGTAATGTCCATTTAATAACTTGTTCTATATAAAAAGAATTACAAAAGTATTACTTCGTTTTATTTAATCACACCTATATATAATTCTGCACAGGAATTTACTAACAGTCATTTTCAGGCGATTTCATAGCGAACATAGTAATAAGTCACCTAAATCGCCGCCACCCTGCCCAAGGTCACTCCCACCCTGTCCATCAATTAGAAAACATGGATTTTAAAAATAACGACTCCGTATGTCGTTATTTTTATGCTAGGATCTCTAGATTCTAACATATTGCCAAAATTAAATCCTATGAAAAACGAATTCTAAGCGAAATTTCAAAAATTAAAAATTCTTTTTTTAAAATACGTTGCCCCACACTAAGGTATTCTTCTGTGTCGTGGGTGCGTTTACAAACATACAAGTTCACATACCTACACATGACATCCAGACCCGAAACAACAATTTGTAGATCACACAAAGAGTTACTCCGTGCGGGAATCGAACTGCGCTACGTGTACGCAACCAGTTGCCCAGCCTCCGCGCCAACCGTGCAATCATCTTACAAAACATTTACTTCGTTTTGGAATCATAATGGTAAGTCAGAAAAAATTGGGGGTTAGGTTAGTCTACTGAGATCTATTTGGGATTTCATAAGTGGGATAGAAAAAGTGTCTTTTACTAGGATGTACGAATTTTTTTTAATTTTTGGCGAGATCCTTTAGATTTTAGGATATTGCCAAATAAACGTACCTATGAAAAATGCCTATAGTAAAAATTGGGTATGAAAATCTAATTCTAAGCAAATCTTAGCTTATCGCTTGTTTCTTTTTTTCGTTTACTTATGTTTTTTACCGAACGCTATTTGTCAATTTTGACAATATTGACATTGCTTGTCGTTTCAATGACATGGCATGACAATTGAAAATAACTTTGACAACGTCCGCTTCTGACATACGACGACATTATTACTACCCCTATACTTATTATACTCTTTGATTATTACTGGGAAAATATTAAATACAGCGGCTAAAAGAATTGATAATTATAAGAAGATAATTACCTACACATGGAAATGAGTTTTTGACGTATTTGTATGTACAACTGAGAACAACGGCTCCAAATTCACCGGAATTCACACATAACCTAGAAAAAGTAAGAATTAAAATGTTTCTAACAATAATATACTTTATAATTGTTTTCTTGATAACTTACAAGATTTATCAGAAAATAACGCTAAAAAAGTTTATCTCGGACATTAAAATACCAAATAAACTAGTGATTGTGACCGGAGCCAACACTGGCATTGGTTATGAGACCGCTAAGGAACTGTCTCGACGAGGTGCGAAAGTCATCCTCGCATGTAGAGATATAAAAAAGGCCGAAAAAGCTGCAAAGGAGATAAAAGCATTTACGGGAAACGAGGTCGTACCTAAATACTTGGACTTGGCATCATTTAAATCAGTTACTGATTTCGCCAAAGATATAATAGAAACAGAAAGAAGAGTGGATATCTTAATTAACAATGCCGGTACGGGTGTTTTGGATAATTCTCTAACTGAAGACAACTTGCCAGTTGAGGCACAGGTCAATCATTTCGGGCCATTCTTACTGACAATGTTACTGCTACCAGCGATGAGGGACTTGAGACCTAAAGCTCGAGTTATTAACGTATCGTCACTAATGCATAAGTTTGGGACAGTGGAGGATTTAGATAAGCAAGCAAAAACTTCATTTGGGCGCAGAAGGGTTTATGCAAATACGAAACTAGCGAACGTACTGTTTACAAAAAGATTGGCGGAGGAGGTTAGACGGAACAACGTGATTGTGAACTGTTTGCACCCTGGAGCAGTAAACACAGACATATTTCGGAATCAGCCAAGGATAGTTCGATTCCTATTGAAGTTGTTCTTCCTTACGCCTGAAGAGGGCGCGCAGACTTCAATATTTCTAGCTGTCTCTGATTACTTTGACGAGAGAATTATGACTGGAAAGTACTTTTCCAACTGCACTGAAGAAAGTCCTTCCGATAGAGCTTTGGATCGCGAAGCCGCCCAAAAATTGTGGGATTTATCACTGAAGATTTGTTTTAAAGATGCTAAGTTAAATGAGGCTACTGGTATTTCACAATAACATGGCTAAAATACGTATGTACTTCAATCAAGTTGGGGATATGAAGTAAATTTTATTTTGTTTGATATCATAAGAGGTGGTAACGAAAATACCAATTTGATATTTTGTATAGAGGATATAGGTAGTATTTAGTCATTCTTACATAAGGGTTGTAATTGTATTAAGTAACTAGTCCATTCCAAATTAAACGGAAGACTGCCATTGTAGAAGTGGATTTATATACCAAAAAATGACGATAATTTATAATAAAATTTATGTGATGCGATTTTTTGTAAAATTACGTAAATAAAGTTTACATTAAATACCTATTGTTTGTTTTACCTTTGAATGACACGGTCGGCTGTCGACGACAAACGAATACTGGTCCTAATGCCGGCCATATCCGAGAACAAAACTTTTAAAATTCCTTCATTTATTTTTTGTTATTATCTATTCCTACACCTATTTTACTGTCGCGGAGAACCTAACGGGTTACCGGGGCTCCGGCTCGACGTGCAGGATAAGGAACGGGGTGATTTTTAGTCAGTAAGAGTCTGATACTCCCTCCCGCCTCACCCAGGTGGAAGCAGTAATTCGATGATTTCCCCCCTTAAAAAATCACCTGTTTAACTACTCAAGATAGGAGAAAATCAACAGAAGGTATTTAATGGCCTGTCTGGTAACTTGGAACAAAGGATTTCAAATCTAACACCTACAAGGAAGTTGGTAGAAAATAAAACACCCAGAGGCTTTTCATCCATTTAATTGTGTTACTTGCAACAACAGTTAAAAACCACTTGATACATGATACGTGACACATTCTTCAAAAGTCAAAAACAATGTAATTTAAGTAAGCGAACACATCGCACGAATTTTCTTTAATTATACATTTTTTCTTAGTTGTAAACTTTAGTAAATTTGTCGTGTGCGTCGTGCGAACATGTTGTGGCAGTGTTGTCGTTACTAGAATTTACTACTGAAACATGTTATCTTTTTCTGTGTCTGTGCTCCGAACGTGCAGCAGAAGGTTTTGTAGTTTTCTCCTTATATCTCGATTCATCTGTAACAAGAAAACAATCATTAACCTGTGAATGGCCAGAAAACAGATCTACGCGAGACACAATGTGTGTTTTATTGTGTCTCATATATCGACAGAGGTTAAGACACATGCAAACTGATTACATAATAAACTATTAGATTTATTCTTCACTCTCCCAACAAGACCGAAGACAATTGTTAAATTATGAATTGAAACGAATGTTGTATCATAAGAGGATACCTACTGGTTAACACTTCTTCATAAAATTCTTTGTTTCGGGGCCTGGGTGTGATGCATTTGTGGAAGTGTTTGTAAATGCACCCACGCCACGACACATGCGTAATACTAGTGAGGGGTTACGTTTATAAAGAAAAATGAACGCATGTCTTCTAAATAAAGAAATAATTATAATAATTTTGTTGTAAATAAGTTACAAAACATTTTTATCAACATTATGAAAATTCTATATGAGACAAGCTAACAAAACAATGATTTCATAAACATAAACATTACATAAAGTAGAAATGGATGTGTTTGATTCATTTAATTAAAACATTCGGTTTCCTTACGTGAATCAATATAACAATACTCTTGTAGTTTTAAGTCGTACCGGGACTCTTATTGATGACGATGTGATTCATTTAACGATGTGATAATCCTTTTAAGAAATTCATCCATCTCACCTCTGTCCTTGTGTCGATGCCTACGTTCCCGCTCGCGACTGGTGCGTGACTCTGGCGAGGAGCGGCGGCGCGGGGAGCGAGTGGGGGGCTCCGCGCACCACCACCACGCGGGCGGCGCCGGCGGGGCCGAGCGACGCCCGCGCAGCGGGGACCCCGCGCAGTACCCCGGCGGAGGGGGCACGTGCTGCGACACATTATACATGAAACTCTAGTCCACTACTAAGGCAGTAGTTTAATGCCAAGAGCATACCGGATATTCCTAAGCCAAGCATTTTTCTAAACCACTATCACAAAGCTTGTCGAACACAAATATTAATATTATACCGTATGGTATAGGGACATCATTATTATAAAAAAATTACATAGATCCTGGAATGAATTGTAAAAGTTTTAGGCTCAAATATGTAGTAAAATGCTTCATGGTTATTTCTTTCCTGGGAGTAAAACGAATGATGCTAATCGGACCACGTTTACAATACCAGTAAAATCAGTAGTAAGTTATATTAAATTGCCTATACATTTAATTCTTGTTACGAGATTGCTAACTCTCAATACCTCCCAAGTTTCTGTTTCATTGGAAAGACATAATTATTCAGATCACAATACCTTGTTCTAGCAAATTGTATGGATATCTCTCACCGGCGGGTAATGTGTCGGCAGGCGGTAGGGCGGGGCGGGCGCGGGCCCCTCGCCCTCCGCACACACCAGCGGCGCGGCCGGCAACCGCGTCGGACTCTCCGGGGTCACTAACTGTAAGCAAGTTTTTTTTTTCAATTTATCATCCCAATTATCATAATATATATATTACATATTATCTCGAGAGTTAAATTGGACTATAGCGTATGAGAATTTGTGTGCTTACAAATCTTATAATCGGAACAATTAAAGTAGAGACGAATTTGTGTGTAACGTATATTGATTAAAACGAATATCATCGAATATATATGAGTTACCTGTTGCTTAAGGCTGTTGAAGTCATTGCTCATGTCCCGGTACCGCTGCAGACACTCCTGCCACATGTTGGCCATCTCCGCCATCTCAGAGCGCTGCTTCTTGATTTCCTCCTGGAAAAGAATACAGACCATATTTACTTATTTATCGAAACTTAAATGTACATAAACCTTTTACCAGTTGCGAGTTGAAAGGAATGTCATGGCGAGTTTATTCTCATAACTATTATATCAACTGGTATCCCACAATTTAATTAACTATGTTAGATGTGAGAAAATATGTCCTAACGAGGCTGACATGTTCATGAACGAAATGTTCCTAAAACAATAGACAATAAAATAAAAGAAAGAATCAATCAATCAAAATCATTGTTAAACCTAAGGACATAGTAATCCATGTCCGACTGAAACGACTTTTTTTATATGATATTTTGCTCTATGGGCCGAAACACATAACCGCGTTGCGTCGCCGCAACGCTGAAATCGGCAGTTTGCATTGCGGCGTTGCAGCGCCGCAACGCAGCGCTCGTTCCAGCATAGCAGAGTAATTTCTTCTTAATAACAAATAATCAATAAGTTTTTCACGATGGTCCATGGCAGAGACACGTCTATGCACAATAAAAAATCACGACGAACTGCTTACCCTACCGAACGACAACAAAACGCTCTTTTTCACAACGCCGCAACGCCGCAACGCAAACTGCCGATTGTAGCTTTACGGCGACGCAACGCGGTTTTGTGTTTCGACCCTATATGCCCTAACCGGGTTTCATGTTGAAACTGTACCCCATTATGTAACACGTATTGTACATATGTTATGCAAAAAAAATTGAATTTGAATTTTAAAACCCACCTCAATAAAAATTGGGCTCCTCAAGTTAAATGCTAGTCATAATAAGTTTTCCTATCAGAGAAAACATTTCAGATTATTAAAAAACTCAGGTATTTTCTTAACTTTGTCTTCGGAAAAGAACCAGGTAGCCAAACAATGACTGAACTATTACAAGTTCCACGTAATAGATTGCAATCTTATTACTTTTGTGGCGTAATATTCTTTAATGAACAATCATGCTGTGCCTACCATAAGCCTAGCGTCGGTGTCCCCGACGTCCCTGGCGACAGTCTCGTACCGTCGCATACACTCGCGCCACAGCCGCAACTGTGCCGCTGCCGATTCCTTCACGTTCGCCGCTGATTCCTACACGAGTAAATAGATCATTGGGTTATTTTTGCACGAAAGAATTATAAATTAAAAAAATAAAGTTGTACTTAGGAATCAGACCATCGGCTCAATGGTAAATAAGTAATGATGATAATTTACTATTACAATTTATCTATACCTGTCCTATATCTACAATCTTCAAAGTTGAACTTCAGCTGTTTTTGTCCATTTTAGATCGAAATAGCTATGTCTGACACTCACCCGCATGTTTTTATCCTGGCCCTGAGTCTGCGAGATCCCCTTGAAGCACCGCATGAGATCCTTCCAAAGCTTCATCATCTTGTCCATGGCCTCGCGTTGTTCAGCTATCTCTTGCTGTCAACAGAACATTAAAAAAAGTCTTAGAAGAATAGTCATTTATTACGACTAGTGACCATAACAAAAATATCTTTGATGTTATAAGATCCTTTAAATTGAAGATAATAAAAAACTAAAATAACATAAAACTTGCATAAATAAAGAGTGTCATATCGTAACAATTCAATGAACTCACTTTCACAACCTTCAGACAGTTACTCCTCCCGCTCATAGTGCTCGTCTCGCCGTCAGCCACGCTCAGTCCCGAATCCCTCTCCTTCTCGGAGTACCTGTCCCTTTCCCTTTCCCTTTCTCTATCTCTATCCCTCTCCCTATAGTCCTCCTCCCTGGAAGCGACAGAGTTTCTCTCGAACCTCTCCGCGTTCCTCCTGTAGCGTCGATCCTTACTCGACACGTTTTGTCGATCCCGCAGGTCTGCCCCTTTTTCGTCGTAATATTTCCCCATTTCTTCATATCTCTTGTCTCTCTCTTCGTATCGCCTGTCCTTGAGCGTGTCGCTCCGTGCTGTTCTGCGACAGTTCCGGTCTTCCTCGTACCCTTCCCTGTGCACATCGAAGCTCCTACTCGTCTTCTGCTCAAAATATCTTCTCCTGTCGTCATCGTAATGTCGTCCTCTAAGGTCCCTGTCGTAGTCCCTGTAGTCTCGCCCGTCTGGTGCCCGGCCCCTGCACGGATCCAAACAGCTTCTAGTGGGCACGGTAACCGGAGGATAGTCCCGGTATCTTTCATCTTCCCCAGGACGGATCCTTGATCTGCTGATATCCAACTTGCTGGGGTATTTAGGACTATCTTTGTCGTAGTAACACAAGCACTTCTCCTGCTTCCCACGCTCGTCACACATTAGCGTGATCTTGTCATGGCTCCGTAACCTACAGGAGAAGTTCTCCTGGCTTCGTATTCTAGACGTGGCCACTAACTCTCTAGACTTCCCTTGACTCAACCGCACTGGTTGACGCTCTAATTCATACGTGTCCCGCCTGTCAATGACTTCACATTGTAAGGACTTGTGGCTTTGAGTTCGGGGCTGTGAAAGTTATACAAATTCAATGTCACTTATATCTAAAGAAATAAACATTGAAAAATGTTGAAACAATACTAACCACAGGCTGGCTAGAATAGCTGGTATTGTTTTTATCATTGATTTGCGCACAAAACTTGGCGAACGTCTCAAGCAGCATGTTTTGGTCTATGCCCCCTTGTCGTGGAGACACTGGTTTAGGCGACCTGCTTGACCTGGATATTACAGTAAACAAATAAAACTTATTAATTATGTAGGTCAAACGTCCTATTCCTTTTATCAGGAAAATAACAATGTGTTTGTGATATGCAGAGAGCAGTAATATTAAAAACAACGTTGAAATTCTGTGACAAGTTGTCTCTAAACATTTACTATCATCTCCGCGCATAGCAATCAGTTTAAAAATCACTCTAGAGATGGCAACAAATGTATTATTTGCCGTTAGCGCACAGCAATCAATCTACTAAAGAACAATCAATCATTATGCTGATAGTCTATCCACAAAAAAGACAAAATAGCTTTACTTATTATGTTCCCTGGAAGGTATTTCGTCTCTCTCTCTGTGCCGGTCCTTGTGATGGTGTCGATGTCTCTCTCTGTCGCGCGGCGCAGAACGTTCGCGTAAGTCCTCGTTACTTACTCGTCTCTCTTGCTCCCGACGACGAGCGTGTCGCTGTCTGAAAACGAAGATAATTGACATAAATAGACAATACTTAACATAAAAATACTTTACTGTATTGAATGTCGTGGTGGCCCGGAGGTTTAAGACGCCCACTTCTCATGCATGAGGGTGCGGGTTCGAAACCTACCAACGGCAAGTACCAATGTGACTTTTTCCGAGTTATATGTACTTTCTAAGATTATTTAGACACCACTGACAAACGGTGAAGGAAAAACATCGTGAGGAAACCTGCACTTATAATTTCTAATTATAAGTTTGAAATCGCCAACCCGCATTGAGCAAGCGTGGTGATTAATGCTCTAACCTTCTCCGTGTGAGAAGAGGCTTTGCTCAGCAGTGGGCATTTATAGGCTGTTGATGATGATGATGTATTGAAAAATCGAATTATTTATTTTTGACTAAGGACAGTAACCTATACATCGATATTGAATGACTTGCTATTTTAAACTTGAAGGTAATGTACAAAATGTAATTTTTTTTTTGAAGTCGTTTAAATATACAGGACAAATTATTTCATAATGTACGGTTAAAAAAACCGACCTCAACCTCTTCTTTTATTGATGTCGGTAGTAAAGGGGTAGATCTATACACAGTAGCGGGGCTAGTAGGTAGGTGAAACTGAGCTAAATGATGATGATGATTATTGAACAAAAAACTTAATCAGTAGTCTAGTCTTATGTGGTTTAATACATACCCCGAAAACGGATAACGATTGACATTCAACTGTCACAAGCTCATTTCATTTATAAGCTTATTCCAACTTTTGGCGCAATGTATAAACTACAAATCCTTAGTAACAAAATACTTCCTTCTCATCCCTTTCAATCAAAACTTACTTCTTTTTATCTCTTTTGATAGCTTCCTCTAGAAAAGCGTATATAAATGAGTCTTGGTCTTGTGGTATGGGTCCACCGACTCCATCGCCCTCCTAAACCAGTACAAATTAGGTCAGTTCTTTGTAAATTGTTAAGAAACTTATTAAAATCCATAATTATAGAAGGTAATTTAAATATGTCATAACTATGTCGTTGAATGACTGATTCATTTTTTTATATTTGATGGGCCGACGTTTGACCACTATCTCGCCTGGTCGTAAGTGATGATACGGTCTACGATAGAGCACGTCGACTCATAAGCAAACTATTCACTCGGGCCTTGGTAAATAATACCGGCATTTTTGCAAATTTTTTCAAGTAATTCCTACTTATAGCACCGGGCTTATATTACTGCGGTGTCCCGGCCTTGAGCCGTATTACTTAGGACTGATAACTTAACTGGAAAAAATTGGTGATACATTATTTACGCTTTATCTAGTCCTTCGGGAAATAAAAAGCGTGGTGTAATGTTTACCTGTGGCGGTGAGATGGACCGTGGAGTTGAAACCATACCCGCTTTCAAAGCCAAGGAAACTCCATCTCTTCTGTAATTTATTAATGTTGCATTAAATATTAAATAAATCCATTACCTTTGTTTTATTTCAAGTATTATTTCTACTTAGTATTAACTTAACTTATCAATAAAACTGTAATTGTAGATTTTTGAAATGTTTTCAAATAACATTAGAGTAATATACTTTGTTGGATAGCCAAAGAAATCTAGATGCCTAGAATCTATCATACCTAGGATCTTATCTAAACTAGATAGCATGTCATGTAATTCGTTCGATGTTCGGCTCTAACCACTGCAAGCCGCTGGTATCGTCACATATTGAAGAGACAATGACGGTACGGTTGGTGGTTGTCGCTGCCTGCCTGCCGCGCAACGTGCCGCGGGTTCGATTCCCGCATCGAACTACTTTTTGTGTGATCCACAGATTGTTGTTCCAAGTCTGGGTGTCATGTGTATGTGAACTTGTATGTTTGTAAACGCACCCATGACAAAAGAGAAAATGTGGGGCAATGTTTAAAAAAAACAAAAAACCCACAAGATCTTTCCTGGATGCATTTTAATCCATTCATTGATGGACAATACATCCATATTCAGCAGTGGATGGAAACGAGCTGATGATGATGAAGTAAGTAGTGTTACAATAACGTACGTCGACCGGCGATGATGACGCCGTGGCGACCTGGAGCCACGATGCTGTTCCTCGACTGGTGACCGCGAAATTGAAGGACTGCTGTCTCGGTCCCTATGCATTTTACCAGCTATATTATCAGTAGGACATGTTTAAGTTATTATTTTATTATAATGAGTACGTTAAACCGTTGCTTAGTTATTATACAAACATGGTATCAGTTGATATTAAAAAACTGTGATAACTGGTCTAAAATAAGAACGATTATTTGTCAGCTGTAATCAGTTGTGGAGGGCAAATGGTAGTGGTGCTAAAATACTGACATTCACACATACACAAATAGAAAGAAGAACTAAGACCATATTCCTTACAGGACCTGGGACCCTAAAAGATTCGATCACAAGGATCGGCACACACTGTTTCCCAAGTTCAAGTTCATTGCCATAGCCAGCCACCTTCTAGCCTAAATATTCTCAAAAACCGTTATGGTAGGTCCACAGTTACATAATAAGAACACAATAGGTTAATATGTGAATGGGAAGGTATGATTATTTTTGAATATATTTCCTTTTCTAAGATGGAGTATCCCAGTTCACTTTTAAATATTATTCAGATGAAGAATAAGTCCAGTGTTTATACTTAATCAGTCTTAAAGTTCAACTACATAACATACCTGTATTTATTGCGAAAATAGTACAAACCTCTTTGAATTATTGGCATCATGCTGTACAGGTATATTCTGCACAACGGCTACTTCTTGTAAACTAGCTTTCATTGATGGTGCTCGACCGACGTTTGGTGGACAGCCCTGTGGAATCACGTTACAAAATATACTTCAATAAATGTAAATAGATAGGTATTATTAATAAAAAATATTTGTATATTGTTGTAATAAATAAACTGAATTGCTTTGCTATGACTCCCTTAGAATTAACAGATTGCACACTCAGCTAATTTTAAATTACTATACTTCGTTCGACTCAAAAGTAACGATAACACTTCTTATACGCAATTCATTGGATGTTTTCTTCAAGTATAATTTGACGAAGTAATTTCTGATGGCTTTAAACACAGGTATAAGAAACAAGTATACATATACTCACGCCAGCAGAGCCGTCCGTCACAACAGAGGTGGAATCGTCGAGCCCATCCCGTTTTTTCCTAGTCCTCTTGTGCTTCGCCGCGTCAAATACTTTGAACAATTTTTTGCTATCGCTCGACTTACACTCCATCTTATGTAGTCGAATGGATCCCCCGACATCGGAGAACAATTAATCCTAACTAATTTACCTCTATTACTCTCATCACTGTTACAATGGTGTTTCAGAATATTTTACGTTATAAAAAGGAATTTTAAAAATTGTTATCCAAATATACACGGTGAAAAGTGAGGGATGTCAATTGTGTATGTAAAGTTGAAATAAGAATTATGCAAGTCCAAGTCAGATTATCGGCTGCCAGAGCTAGAGCAATAGGTAGCTATACTTATTCGGATATGACATGGACCATAAACCATTAGTAGAATCGGGCAAAGACTTCCACCCGCTTCTTTTCGGACCCTGAATGCCATTCACTTCTTTCCGGGTTCCATGTTAATGCGGAAAAACTTATGATGACGAACTAAATGAATTAATTAAATATCTTTATTATATTTTCAACTTTATCTTTTATTTCAATGGTTTATTTGTAGTTCTAAGCATTTATTTTAATAACTAATTAATACTAAAATATTTACACCTTAAAAAATAATAATAATGAAAAAATAATAATAATGAAAAAATAATAATACCTAATGATAAAATAATAATAATGAAAAAAAATAAATAAATTATAAGGCATCAAAGAAAATATTTTCCTCATCGCTACCGTGAGGTAGGGTGCCCAAAAGACTGGCAGCATTGCCACGTTGAATGGCAATGCTTAACCTTTGCCCAAGGTAGTAGCCAGCCCTTCGATCACCTGAAGTGTCAACCATCCTCCTTACAATATCTTTGTAAAGAAGATGTGCACTTGGGCCCCACGGCCCTAAAGTTTCAACCCCAAACGGTTCGAAAGCATAATTGCCAATCAGGCTATTATACTTTCGCCGTTTGAGGTTCTCGGCAGCGGCAGCGGCAGCACCGGCTCGACACGCTGAGCTTGGAAGATGGGATGGCGCCAGAGTATCAACGCAAGTGGCGTCCCATACTAAAGCCCTACCCATCTTCCAAGGGAATAATGACATACCGTCGGGTCTCTTGCCATCGTCGCGTACCAAGCCATTAGGTTCTAAAGTAGCTGGCACGCCAACGGAGGCAAGAGCTCGACGAATTATGTCATTAATACTTGCGTGTCGAGCAAAACGGCCCGCACTACGGCTACATGACAAGCCGTGGTGTCCAAGGCTGTTGACAACTTCACCACAACGACAACGATGAGGTGAACAAAATGAAGCTCCAAGCCTTAAACAAATTGCAGCGCGGAACGTGGTGTCGTCCAACAAAGTACCTAGGTTAGACGAAGGTAAAGCAAGAAGCCATAACCCCGACTCCCACTCACCCACAGCCAAAAGGCGAGCTCTCTCTGCAGTTGAACAAGAGGAGTTCAAAAGATTTTCGCTCACTTTTCTGCAGAGCGGCTCGTCCCATTGTCTCTGGGAGAGTGATTTGACAGGGGGTCAATATTTGGGCAAGCGATTTTCCAAGCATTCACAGCTTCCACTAAATATGGTACATCAAAATTAACCAGTGATTGAGAAAGAATTTTCCTGGTTAATTCTTTAGTACCATGGGCGGAAGATATGAAAGCCGGTAGGCTTACACTGGAAATTTTACGGAAAAAAAAAAAAAAAAAAAAAAAAAAAAAAAAAAAAAAAATTAATTAAATATAGAATTATTCTCCATAAAACTACACCCAATGTATGTTCACAGAATAAATCTTTAACCAAATTATATTAATTAGCCCTTTGTAAACAGAAGATTAATTTTAAATCAAAGAGTATTATTAATAGTTCTTTTCTATTTACTCATGTTGGGGCGCTGCTCATTATATTCAACAGATTTTATTCTTGCTTTAAGTTGTTCATATTATGTGAGAGGCAAACAAACAGATGCATCAGCCGATGGTACGCAATCAGCGCCGGGCTTCTCAGTTGACCAGTGAGGTGCCGGTTTTATAAAATCTGTTTTCTTTAACAGTTTTGTGGCAAAATATTACAGCACTGTAATAAGTTACCAATGTAAAAACTGCACATTTCTTACTTAGAGGGTACTTATTTGGCATATCAACGATATTAAAATTTATTCCTGTCTTCATTCATGTCTAAGTCTTATCTACTTCTGGCTGCAGTAAAACATTCTAAATTGACTTTTTTCATCAGTAAACGAAAAGAGGGTTACATTATGTTATATCTAATTCGGATTCAATTTGCCGGCTCACATTAACTCTTTTATATTAATTTAATTCGGTAATTGAGGTGGACAAATTATAAAATGCCAATTCATGAAAAAAAAATAAAATTCAGATTCAATTTCAATATATTATAGATTATTGTAATTCACATTAAACTTAATTAAACTTATAGCCCACATAAGCTCCTCACACTCTCCACTACGTTTTTTCTTATAGACAAAGGCGCTAAAGGTACTCGGTATAAATCTCCATCATAAAACCAATAAACAGATTCAAGTCCCATTTTATTATAAAAATCAAAATTACGTGTTATAATACATCTTTTCACAATCGAACAATAGAAATCGATTATAGCACATTGACATTCTTGTTGTAAATAAATCATCATGGACATAAATAACAAAATCGGATCGTACAGCCTAACATGTTGAGACACCGCTATAAATGAGGTCGGAGTCGTGAGACAGTCACAGCACGCACCGCGTCCGTCCGTCCGTATCACTATATGTACACGTCACTCGCCACTCACTCGGCACTCGCGTACCCGTCGGTAGCACGTCACTCAGCGTCACTCAGTGTCACTCACTGCACTACGGCACTACTCGGGCTCCGCGTCCGCGCGCGACTGACTGCAGTGGAACAACACGTCGGCCAACTCGTGCGCCACCTTCTGGTCCAGGATCTGGGACATCACCAGCGACAGCAGGCGTCGCTCGTGGCGCCGGATCAGGGGCCGGTTCTCAGGGTGCTCCGCCAGGCGCAGCAACGTGGCCGCGGCTCGCCGCAGCATGTCCAGCGACGTGCCCATGGCGTCCGGGTTGTCGCGCAGCGCCGCCACGCCGTGCTGGTTGGCCACGCCCAGCGCCGTCTGCTCGGCGCGCTCGATGAACGCCACGAGCTGCGCCACGGCCGGCGCGTGCAGCGCCACCTCGCGCGCCGCCGCGCCACCCGCGCCCGCCAGGTAGTGCAGCAGGTTCACGGCGAACTCGCGCACCACCGGCCGCTCCGGCCGGCACAGGTCGCGCGCCAGCCCCGCGCACAACGCCGCCAGCCGCCCGCGCGGCGGCGTGGCCAGCACCAGGTCCACGTTGGCGTCCGTCACGCACAGCTTGCACAGTGCCTCCAGCGCCAGGCGGCGCGGCGACAGCGGCGAGCCAGCTGCGGCGGCGGGCGGCGCGTCACCGGCCACGGCGGCCGGGCACACGGCCCAGTGCAGCAGGCCGTCCAGCAGCGGGCGCGCCACGGCCTCGGGCTGGCCGGCCAGCTCCACGCCGCCCGCGATGTTGGCGCAGCACACGAGCGCGTCCTCCCGGAGCTGCGCCAGCGCGTCCCACCACCACTCGGCGCCGCCGCGCAGCGACGAGCAGCAGGCGCGCGCGTCGCTGTCGTCTCGCGCGGCGCGCTCGTAGGCGCGGGCGCGCGCGGCGCGAGGAGCGTGCTCGTGGTGCAGCAGCAACAACTTGCCCGCCAGCGCCAGGAAGGCGCCGGAGCGACTGAACTCGGCCTCGTTGCCGGGCACGAAGGTGAGGCCGCGTAGGATGTTGGACAGTGCGATACAGCGGCGCGCCAGCGCGTCACGCGTCTCGTCGACGAGGTTGAGGCTGGGCTCGTCGCGCGTGTAGCACTCGTCCTCGTAGTCTGCCAGGCGCCGGCGCCGCAGCACGCCGGCCGGGTCGCGGACCGCCAGGCGGCCGGCGGGTTCCAGCTCCATGGGCTCGGGCGCCAGGTTGTCGCCCGAGGGCTCGGTAGAGGCAGGCGGCGCGGGTTCAGGTTCAGGCGCTGGCTCTGCGATGGGCGAGGGCACACGCGGTTCGGGCGCGGGTGAGGACACGGCGCGCTGCCCGGGCATGACGCGCACGAAGGGTAGATGCAAGAACTCGGAGCGGAACACGGGCAGGACGTGCGCGGCGCCGGCGCAGTCTCCGCCGAACTGCCAGGGCTCGAGTACGTCGTCGTCGAGCGGCTCGCGCTCGTCCTCGTCGTCGGGCGCGAACAGTTCGTCGTCCTGTTTGTACATGACGGGATGCCGCCGCCGCGACTCCATGGTGTAGTTCTCTCCGTTCAGTATGCGCACTCGATCGGCGGGGTCGGGAGGTTCTCTCGGTTCTCTTTTAGTTTTCGCGCTCTTCACGACGGGTTCGGGACTGGGAGGTGGCGCATACCAGGGTCCCTCATCATTCGACGGCGCATCGAATACGTCACTTAAACTCTTATGGAAGTGTTCCAATAATAAGTCGAGTAATCCAGGCATATGTTGTAGGCCAAAGTATCCTATGCAGTTATCGTCGAACAGCAGTATGTTGAGTATATCGAGCGCCCAGCAGGTCTCTGCCAACAGCCCGGATTTGAGCGCCATCATGATACGCCACGCGTCGACGGGCGCTACGTCAGCCTTAGTAAGTCTTCTTCGTTTTTCTCCAGTCGGTACGGCCGCCTCCACACACTCGGCGGGGAATGTTAGCTCCCGTTTTAGTTGTCCAGGAGCAGTCAGAACAGGAGCAGAGCCCTGGAAAACAATAAAATCATGGTTTAGTCAACCTGCAATGAAATTAATTCCATAAGGGGTGTGTTCAATAACAAGACAAAAAATGCTGAAACTTACTGGTGATGGCGCAGTCGAATTGTAAGGGTCTTGTGTAGGCGGCCTTGGAGCGCCACCCCAGGCAGGACCTCCACTTGGCTGAAATTGTAATAAACACCTCATATAATAATGTTCTACTAGAATAAAAACCCTTATTGAAACGTGCAAAATTTAAGATGGTGGAGAATATTTCACAGTTTAATTTAACTTGAAGACAATGATACGACCGTATATAGAATGGTTGTATGCTTACCGTATTGGAGTAGGGCGGATGCGTCCAGTTGGGCGGTTGTGGCGCCCCGGGCTGTGGGCGCCAGGGTGCGGCGGGCGCGGGCGGGGCGGGCGCGCGGGGGAACGACGCGCCCCACGCGGCGCCGAAGCGGGCGCCGGGCGCGGCCCCCGCTCCGGCCCCGGCGGCACCGGGCGCAGGCCCAGGCGCAGCCCCCGCGCCTCCGTAGGCGGGTTCTCCCTTAGCGAAGTCTGGATGTCGCCGCGGCGCGCCGGCCGCGGGGGGAGCCCCGGCACCGATGGCCTTACCGCCCCCGTACTGTGGACACGTAGGGACACGTGTGAGCGAGACGATTGCGACACATACACCTCGTTCTTCTCATCTTTAGAGTCGTCGCTTCGAGATTAGTACCTGAGATTCATTGGAACCTCCCAAGAATATACACGGCTCTCATCTCTAATTACAGACTCCCAAATAAGAAGAGTGGTTCGAATCTTCGGTTTGCATTTTTCAATTCATTGTGGAATCAAAATAATCTCGTATATTTTTAGTAGGACATTTGAAAATGAAGACCTCAAAGCTAATTAGCACTTTACTCTAATATCAATATTTCAAACTGAAAATTGGAACCGCGACGAGGTGATGTTCGTTACAGAAAGCGACATTAATATAACTTTGTTACACTGGCCGTGCACCCAGATGTGTTCGCTTTAATAAGATGATTATTTTCAGACGAAAATCAATCGAATGTGTCACAGCTGAAATACACAAATATGTACAATTATAAAACACAATTAACTACGTAGTAGACACATTCGTTCGATTCGTGCCGCTGTAATAAACAAAGCTACGAGTCCGTTAACTTACAGCTAAGCTTACATGATTTGTGTGAATTGAAATGCATGCACATGATTTAGTGACCAAAATTGTTCATATAATAAAGCCACCACCACACACTCTAAACCTTTACTTCCATGTTTTGATTATTTTTGTTAAATTTTGAAGGAGCTAGTGGACGAGTTTTTGTTCTACCATCGCGCAGCCAAACGGCTGGGGACGGCGAAAATCCGAAAAGCCAATTAATCACACCGCAAGCCAAAATTTTGTTAAACAAAAATAGAAGAAAAAAAATTAACAGTGATAGCTTAAATTTTGTCAAACGAGTGGTATTATTTTGAAATAAAAATGAAGCCAAAACCACGAATGAGATATGCCCCTTGCACGATAATCGTGTATCATATCTCCCAATATTGATTGCCCAAACTTGACGTCTAATTTTAGTTGAATTCTCAATAATTTGATCTATTGGATGTATGACTGTCATTTTTACTAAAACACACGTGAGCAAGTAGTGCACACACATTAAACAGTGCTTTCGGGTGCACCTTTTTCAAAACAGTAATAAATTCAAAATCGAAATAATTAAGTGTTAAAAACAAAAAAATAAAATGAATTATTTGTCAATGTTGAAGTGCATCTGTATAATTATTTAGTTGATGCATATCGCACACGATGGTAAGACCGTGTGCGTACGAGAATCGTGTGTAGGGGCTCCGTGCGGGTGAGAATGAGACCGTATCGCCAATCAATGGGAAGCGGTGTTGAGTGCGTGGTACAAACGGGGCGTCCGTACGTAGGGCCTGGGCGTCGGCGACAGCGGCGCCACCAGCTGCCGCGCGAGCTGCGAGTTCAATAAGTTACTGACGGACGCCGCCCCGCCAGACATCTACACACCAGACAGAACCGTCACACACGCGCTCCACGCACCGCGCTGTCTTCACAGCGCGCGCCTTACTACGACTTACACACGTCTGGATTCCACTAGTACGCAGGTAAACTTACTACAATCGACTATGAAAATTACACACACCTAATTTACTATCACAAACAACTTAATAGCTACCAATACTACTCAATCAAGACGTTTGTAAGCCCTCTAACTAATCACCAAACAATTTATCATTAACAGTTTCATTGACATCAAATCAGTGTTAACACAGCATACAGTATACTCTTGAACTCTTATAACCTGTATGATGATAAATTGCTTCGTGATTATATTGCTTTTACATCAAAAAATATCAGTCTACTATACTTATTTTAAACCTTTATAATAGACCATTGACATCACAGTGTATCATATTCTTTATTAATAGTAATAATCACATTCCTAAAACCCCTACTTGTATTTTAATTCTATGAATTTTTAAACTCTAAAAGGTACTAAGTTATTGGACATTGTCAACACTAACAAAAAATAATAAGGACAGGTGCAACTCGATTCAATACAAAAGTTCTACGACCATGATACAAGTAGCACCTGTGTTTACACCTGTAACTACAAGACTGGTGCATGTACTGTAATGTTCTTTGTTACATAGACAACTAGAAAGTAGTGCAATATGTAAGCATATAACATTACCTACGTATTGTAATACTCCTTACATGCTAAACATGCTGGGCTATATCTAGGCCGGCTACTTCTTAACTAGACATTCCATCAGTTTCTCACATAAAAGCTAACATTCTATTCTAGACAATCTTCTAATAATTTAGGATACAATTAAGTTTTTGAATAACAAGACAATGTTCGCTGTCGTAACATTTTACATTAACACATTAATAACCTACTAAACTTATTCATGCTACATTTAATTAGAATTGAAGTAACTTTTCAATGTTTTGTAACATTAGATATCTAGTTGCATAAAATCTCTTGGTGCTGGATGAAAGGTTGCTTCAATTAGAATAAAATTTCATATACTTTACACACCATAGTCCCCAATTAACTTGCTATTGTAACAGAACACAATATTAGACTTTATATCCCCAAAAAACTATGCAAAAACTTAGACATTGAAGTCTCATATCACCTGATGGTGTGTACAGTCTATGTTTGTGTTAACAAAGTAGTTGAAGTAGTAGTGTGTAGTTGAGTAGGTGTAGTGCGAGTAGTTACCTCGTGCGGCGGCTGTTGCGGCGAGATGGGCGGGTGCGGCGGATGCTGCGGATGTTGCGGATGTTGTGGATGCGGCGGGTGCGGATGCTGCGGGTGCTGCGGATGCTGCGCGCGGTAGTAGTCGGGGTAGGGCTGCGCGGGCGGCGGCGTGGCGGCGCCGGGCGCGGCGCCCCTGTAGGCGCCGCCGTACCCGCCGTACTGCTGGTACTCGCCGCCTCCGCCGCCCACGCCGCCCACCGCGCCCACCGACCCACCGCGGTACCCTCTGTACACAAGCATAACACAATCACTTTACGTACTCCACTCACTTTTATAATGTTTAAGAACAAAGAAGAGACGCTCCTTTTAGCTTTGCTTACACAATTTCATAACTATAGCATCACTATCATAACCGTTATCGAACTTCAACATTATAAACAAAAAAACATGTCCAAAAAGCAACTCATAACCTGTTGTTCACGTTTGTATGTAATTCAATTGCACAATAATTATTTAATAGCAAAATAAACTGTAACATACCTCACTAAACAATTCATGAACAAAAATCAACTTGACAAAACATTAACAATATTACGAATAAAAGTTTATTTATAGACATGCGTCCATACTGTTCTAAATTACATTTACTACTGAAGTTGGGCCTTCCCACTCATGACGTTGTTACTCCACTATCAATAATGGGAAATCCCCGAGATAAAACCCAGGCGTTGTGTGATAACCTAATCAGTATTCAACCACATGTGGAAAACAATACCTGTTTTTTGTTCAGAATTTAATATGAACGAGGAATATTGTGTTAATATTTATATCCTTTAAAAATAACGTGTTTTGTGAAGTATAAACTGTAGTTTCAATGGATTTATCCTAGTTTACACACTGGAGGTAAGATGACAATTTGCTTAATGGCAACTGATATTATCTACAAATGTTAATCTGTTGAGAATTACGTGAATTTGAAACTGTATAATAAGGGAATCAACCTATTTTACACATTCTTTGAAATGATTGATATAATCTATGGACATTTATATTTTTATAATATTCGTCTAAAACTGACCTGTCTCCATCGGGGCCATAGGCTGGATAAACAGGCCTATTTTGCTGGTAAGGAGATCCATATTCGTACCCGTAACCTCCTTGTTGGTAACCTATGAATACAAACCCACTTTAACAATACAACACTTTCATTAAATAACTAACAATGTGATAAAAGGAATATACACACCATTACTATACATGCAGAAATAATATTCGTGTAATATTTATTATATGTACAACACTAATAATATATTTAATGCAAAATTATAATTGTAAAAATGGCCATTACAAGCTATGTTACATCCATTATTTATATTATAGGAAAAAAATGAACACACAAAATGAGAGAAAATCACATGATACCGAAAATAAAATGTTGGCGAGTTAATTTTTTTACTGACAATCCAAATACTGGATGTTGGTTATTATACAAATTGTCAAATGTATGGTATGATGAATTGAATAACTCATATTTTATTAGGAATATCATTTCGTTAATACAATTTTCATTATATGACTATGACTTTTGTAGTATTGATAATGACCAATGAGTTTTGAGAAGTCATAGATAAAACATTTGTAATACAGTTCAGTAACAAAAAAAAAACAAACCTTGCTTCGATTTTTAGACATACTGATTATTTAATGTGATTTGTCAGCAACAGTCTCCAAAACAATAAAACAAATTAGAAGTCAACCGGTATCATGCAAATGAACAAGGGTTAATATGTGATAAATAATGAGCCACAGAGCAGTAAACAAATGGATTGCTAACATGAGTTCTTACACTGACAAAACAATAGCAAAAAGTATTTTTTGAAGTTTTACTACTGATTGATTGCATTCATTTGTTTACTCATCCATGTAATGAGGAGATGTGCAAGTGTTTAGTACCTGGGGGTCTCCTGGGCCCCGGCGGCTCGTCGAACGGATTGGAGGCGGCGAGGTTGTCACCGCCAGGCCCACCGCCTACAACCACACGTCTATGTACCCACACGTACCCGAGAGGAACGCTAACCCTCCGACATTTATACTCAACTATTCACACGATACTGAGAACAGACTACTCTTTTTAACAATGCGCGATAAAATCTAATAAATTCCTTTTACGACCAAGGCAGGTATAAATTACATAGTTTTATAACAAGCTTGCATCTGTTAATAAAATAACAGCTTCAGTCCATTCAGACTTTACGTGTAATTATCGTGCATTTATTAAACGTGAGCATTCCGTTCCCACACAATCTGTCACCAGGGCACTCAGTGTTTTCAGGGAAAAATGATCATATTTACAGTGGAAGTATATTAACGAAGATATAAAATTCCTCTGTGATACGACAATTAGTTAGTGGTACGTGGTTATGAGCCGATGATAGGTTAGCAATGGCCACTCGGGTCGGTTAGATAGTTAGTTGGCACAAAAGAAATAAAACAAGCGCCGGCGTCACGCGTGCAGTGTCAGGGCGCACGCGACTCTACGGTAGCGCGGGGTCACTACTGGAGACATCACACACTACTCCGCCATCTTACACAGAAATACTTCTAAATCAACTCCTCAAACTGTATAGATAGAAGTGATCAAGTGATGGTCACTCCTTTCCATGTATTAGTAATAGATTTTTGAAAACAGATATGCAGTCGAGTGTGTTAATGTCAACGTAGGTGCTCGTCCGTGCGAGTGACGCGGTGCCACTACAGTCGGAGCTAGCGACTGTCTATTCACACTAGCAATCAGGGGACCCTACCACTACTCTTATATTCACTACAAAGATTTAACATATTAGTTTTTAACTTTTTTCTTTTGTCAATGAAGTGGAGATAAGAGTGGTAGTCAGGTGTAAACAAGGAGAGTTGTGATGTAGTTGTTACCTTGCGTATGGTTGGGTTGTGGCGGGTACCCAGCGTACTGCGCGCCGTACCCATCCATGGGCGCGCCCCCGCCGCCCCCGCTCGGGAACGACTCCTGAGAGTTCGACGACCCTGCGCATAAATAAACAGTTTTAAAACTACTCTCTCTGCTAAATTTTACATTAATATCATCCAGGTTTAAGTCCAATTAGAGTTAAGGCTAGTTTATTCTCAAATGTACCTGTACTAGATGTACTGTTAGACTTCCCGCTCTTCTTCTTAGTGGAGGCTTCAACTTGGTTGATGATAGGCTGCGGGTCAATACCCCCGCGGTCGAAGTGGCACTCGTACGCGAGTAAGTTCTTGGTGTAGTGTTTCCGCAACGTGTAGGCGGCTGAAGACGACGCGCCGATACCCAACAGCCCCGCTATGTCCTTCCACGTCTTATTCTTTGTCACCTGCAAACGGTCACACAGTAAGTAAACGTGTAACGAACAACAATATCACTTTGCAGTTTGAAGTAAACAAATGAACACGAGGCGACAGTTAACTAGAACATAAAGTATGAAGGTTTAGTACTCAATGGAAAAGGCGATAACTCGCGCGTGTTAACGAGTGGAAACCTGAGCATGGCGCGACGTGCGATGATATTCCGCCGGCGGACGCGGCCGCCCGCCGCAGCGATCTGTCGCGACTCACGACCGTTCGCTCCGCCAGTACAATGATAAAAATTTATTAACTATCGTTAAAGGCCGCCGGTTTATGGCGCCTATTCACATAAAGCGCGCGGTACATGCACTAACATAAATCCTTGCCGAAGTCTATTAGTCTCAGCTGCATAGCGCGCGCGTCGGTTTTACTAGCGCCGCTAAAGTGATACTCGAGAATACAAACGGTTACAAATGTTAACGTTTAAACTGTAAAACCGAATAGCTTTACACGCGCTGTCCGACCTCTACGTACATATTTATTTGTTAAACAGTAACTGTGCTTTGTGAAATAGAATGCTGTTTTGAATCAGATATTTCAGTTTATTGCGAGCTCTGTGTGACGGAGGGAAACTAACGTAAGACTGCGCGCCAGCCGAGTGAAGTGAAACGTAAGTATAGGTAGGTGAGCAACGATTGTGCGATCATCCTCATTCGTAACAACCTTCAATAATATTGCCACTCTACATACACGTTTTCTTTTACGAACATTATTTAGAGTATAACTGGATATGAATGTTGCAGACTATAACGTAAACAGTAGCTAAGAAGCCATATACAAAGTAACCCGGTTGTGGAAACAAGATTGCGGCGTAGCGTTGAAATTGAGGGCTCTCAGAAGTGTCAAACATGGGTGCCGCAGTGACACGGTCATAGATTCATATTGTCCCACTTGACTAGCCTCAGCTCTCTTGTCACAATATTCAAATCAAGCAATTGGTAAAAGTTGTTTGAAGAAAACTCGTCTTTTGTGAAGTAACACTTATAGATAAAATGTGGCTGGAGATGTTGTAAACAGTATTTCGTTAGTTTCGTGAGTTTTATATGTTTAGCTTCTAGACAAATGATTTTGTTTACATTATTATAGACGGATTTTGTAGTTTTTGGGAATAAGGCTATTGTCAAAATTGTATTCAATGCTACAGTTCGTTCTTAGAGGCATGATCGCGTCTGTTATTTTGGCATAATCCACGTATTGTGAAGCTGGAGTATGGTGGTGAGTACAGTAAGTAAGGGGTACCTCAACGAATCCGCCGCGGTCGCGCACGAGCAGGTAGAGGCGGTAGAGGTCGAGCGGTTGCTTGGAGATGGTGGGGCAGGCTGCGATGGGAGTGCGGCGCTCGTCCATGAAGGCCAGCAGGCGCTCCACCCAGCCGCGCCGCTCGGGCGCGTCGTCCATCTCGTACAGCTTGCCCAGCGAGTCCGACTTCTGGCGCAGGACACACACCTCACATACCCGCACACACACCACATACTCTACTGCCGCCATCTCTACTTCTACTATAGAGAGGTCTAATATACAGAGGTCTGCTAGGGTAAGTCGACGAAAGATAGCCATAAACTCCAAAAAATAAAGATAAATAGGAAGTGCTACCGCGTTCTTACGCGTTCGACTGTCTGTGGGTCCTACGGATCCCCGAAAACGTTCGAGTCACAAAGTTAAGCTATCGACTTACCCTATACTTTACCATTGAATTAACATGCTGTAAAGTTTAAACGTTTCTGTATATTGTTTGGGGTTTTTTTTCTCAAATTACTATAATTCTAATTTTTAATATTCTTCGTACAGGCAGTAAAGTATGTGAATGTCTTATGGGATATTTTCAAGCTATTCTACTTTATGATCAAACTAAGCGATAGACTTCATTTTTATTTTGGACAAATATCAAAACCATCCAAGAGTAGACAAGTGACAACTATAAGATCTGTCGCTTAGTTCTCTCATATCGAGCAAGTATATCTAATTAGTAAATAGTCTTATATTTAAGGAGTATTGTATAATGTGAGCTATGTATTGTCGGCAATCAAGTAAAGCTTTTAGATTAATAGTGTATGTGTTACCGGGCCTGACGAAGACTCTCCTATACGTCGCCTTGAATTTTCAGCCTAGAATAAAAAAAAAACAATCCACGAATATCAATTTAATGTTCAACAAATTACTTTCGTCAGCCCCGTTCGTTTGGAAAAACTCCTTATGATTTATTTATGGAAAACTTTGAAAAAAAGATAATAAAAGTAATGGTAATGGTAAATAAAAAGACGGTGAATGAATAAAATGAGATGAATTTATAAGGAGTTTTTACTGAATTGCATTCCAATACTAACCCTTTTCAATAAACTACATATTACAAGCTAGTACATAGTTTACGAAACGGGGACTTTGTGTATTTTCATGCAATCGATGCGTAGTGCATTATATCTAAAAATAATTATACAGGCTTCTGCTGTCATGCGGTATTCAAGTGGCGAGATACAGACGACCATTTAAATCTAAATTCTAAAATAACCATTTTGTAAGAGAATGCTACATCAACGTGTAATTCAGAATCAAAAGAACCTTTGTTGTGTAAAGTGTTTGAGCGTATTAAAACATTTCACAGTGGAAAAGTTCCTAAATTGTTTCTTGAAGCGAATCCACAACCAAAAAGAAAAATTGTAGCGTAAAGCAAAATAAAAGTGAATAACTAAAGGATATTTCAAGCTTCAAGCTGAAAGTTGGTGTCGAAAGTTTTAACTGAAAGTAATATGTACACATAGATGCAATCAGACAATGTTATGCATTAAAAGGCAATGCATTTTGTATTATGCAGATAGAAAATGACTAACATGCAATCGTAACACGGTATTAAGTGAAATATTAATCGTTTCGAGCACTACTCATGCTTATGATCTTTAATTTGATATAAACCTTTGATCTGTAGGACTCCGGCGCAATGTGACTGTTAAATACCTGAAATACATGATAAAATGCAATGCCTCCCTTTCGCTTAAACACAGCTCATGTTAGGTAAGAACAAGACAGTTGAAATGTATGAGTTCAACCTACTAAACAATAAAATGGCCTGTGGTGTGGCACTTAACTGAATACAAACAAAAAATAACAATGTCCAGACACGGATGCTGATCGCACCGAAATGTTGACCAGTACATAGTACTCATACAACATTGCATTACAAAGCAGAATTCTAGACTTCATGGTTTCAGTGTGATCGACACCCGTGGCAAGTGAGGTTCGACATGGTTTTCCACATAAATGCAATAATTATGTGAATAATAAAAATAATACGAAGAGATTAAAAAACTACTATTGTTTAATTTTTTGTTCTCGTAACCTCATTTGTTATTACTTTATTAGCTTATGGCGACCATTAGGGAACGGTGTTCTTTGACCCCTAAACTCAATGAAAATATTATAAACCTAAATTAACTTAAATATTTGGTTTACGAAAACAAAAATTACTTGCAATGATTGCCATTATAAAAGACGATGGTACAATCATTGTCAAAAACATTTGAGACTTAATTGGCGGAATTTTTGCGCAGTTTAAATCAGCCAAAAACAGAAGAAACGAAGAGTCCTCTCGACTAAAATATTTGGGGAACTTGTCCACTCACTGTATAATGCAACAAACTGATTGGAAACTAAGTTGTAAGTGATTGCGGTGGTCCAAGTTGCACAAATACGCGGGTGTCGTGGTAAGTGTGTTGTGTGGAGTATCGTGTGCCGAGACTCACGGGACTAGAGGGCGGGCGCGGCCACGAGGAGGGCGACGCGTCGTAGTCGTCGTGCAGGGACGAGTGCGAGCCGCCGCCCGGCGACGGGGACGGCGCCGCACTGCCCGCGCCGTACTCTTTACGAGATCCTCCCTTACTCGAGCCCGACCCTCCGCCACATGCTTCTTCTCCAGAAGCTGCAACAATATACGCTGCTGCGTTAGCATATTTACAAGGACATTGCAAAAGAAGTTGATCAGACTACATTTTTATTTCATTGTGTTCTTGATAAGAGAACATAATAAGTTTCCACGTGTGTGTACCTGCGGATGCGTTACTGAGCGTGCTCTGTTGGCTGCCTTCATCTAGCGGAGCACCGTCTGGTCCGGTGGTGACAAGCGCGGTGGCGGGGGCTGCTGGCCCGTTATCATGTGGCTCGGCTGGCGCAGTCGGCGGTGGCATAGCTCCCTCGGGGGCTCCAGGAGTACCCGGTCCACCCGGGCCTGGGGGACCCATATGCCGTGGTTGCTGCTGAAATAGCACAGACGAATGGTTATGATACTGTAAGGTATTTAACACAAAACCAAACTTAGCCATCGAGGTCGGATAAACTACCACCCCGTACAACAAACTGTACAATTAAGCATCAAAGGCGATTCGTTTATTCCAATTTGTCAGAGGCTAGTGAAACATTCATCAAACAGTTTACTAAACCAACAATTTGGTTACAGTTACCTTCAAAGGAGGAGGGTAGTGCTGTGGCGGATGCGGTGGCGGCGGCGGGCGGTATCCATACGGATAGGGGTGGTGATTTCTCGGCGGGTAACCGTAGGGCTGCGGCGGCGGGTAGTGCGGCGGCTTGTACCCAGGGTGGTGCGCATAGGGCTGCGCCACCATAGCACCAGGCGGCGGCCCTCCGCCAGGCGTGGGCGCGCCCGCTGCGCCGCCCGGCCCCGGCCGCGCCGTCGGCCCGCTGCCATCAGACAGCGACGACGACGTTCGCGGCGGCATCGCTACGTTCTGCGTGCCTGTAACAAAGTTATCACATATCATCATAAGTCATTCCATAAAGTTGACACAAACACAAACTTGGAAATTCTTACATCAAACCGAACTACAGCTAAGTTTAATCCCTCGAAGTAAACACTAGTCATAACTCGGAAACTAGTGTCGCGCTAGTTTACAACACAAATCCAAGTTGAGTGTCAAGTGTATCAATTAAATAGTATACGAGAGTGCAAGCGACGACAAACATTGGCGTATATCGGTTTTGTGATCGATCGTGGAGCTCGGCGCCGGTGCTCGCAGGCTCGCACACACAATTTGAATAATACAGTTAACGAGGGCTCGCCTAAGCCGGCCGAGCATCAATCGAGGGCGGAGAGACGCATCCGATCACTTTCGTTTTCCATCGGCACGTGAGTAGCATGCGCCGCTAGCCTGCGAATTCTCGCTGCACTTTATTGCATCCGTATATGTGCATACGACATGCACGCAACGCATTGACCGAGGCCGAGATACGAGCGGCAGTGATTTGCGACGACGAAAGTGGTATTGCAGCTTTTATGTAGGTCAATTTGGACTCGGTTATGTTAGTGTTACGTGAGACCGACTACCGTCTGTTACACACTTAATATACATTTGCAATTACATCTGTGCGGCTACAGCAGTGGCGAAAACTGCGCGCCAACTAAAGCAGCGCACGGAAGTTTTTCAGTGCACATTTGAAAGGCGCCCTTTCTGACGTTTTGTATGAACAAAGATAAACACGTGCGAGGGTCGTCACTTTAATCTCATCAGCGGGCTATTATCGGGCCATTATATTGTGTCGGCGCGATCAGACGGCCGGCAGACGGCGAGGCGCCGGTGAATCATAGATAACAGCGTTGTGCCATACGCGCCCACCTATATATCTATTTGTTTACGGCGACCTTTAATGAGTGAAGCGCCACGGTAATGGGGTCGTCCCGGCTCGACTCACATTCGACCAATGTCTCGTAAAAATAGCACGCGTCCTGTGTTCAAATGTGTAATAAAGATAGCGAGCAATCATGTCTCTGGCGGTAGCTATATCCTGAAGCACAGATGTTTGCCCTATAAGTTACACTGTTTTGTGCGATTTAGTTTAATGGTGCAATTTAAAATGATAATAAGAGATTTAGATTACATGATGGCACTTTTCATTACGGCCGTAGGTGCTCATTTCATGGCAAGCTTTGTCACCTCATAACAAAGCAATTTTCATTTTTATCGTTTCAGTTCATCACTTGCCGCTGTCTCTTTGTGAGACATAGCAAATAACATAGTGGTCGACTGGTACACATTGCATAGATAAATAATAGGTAGGTACATAGCAATATGTATTTATGCAGTTGTGCTAATTATTTGTAAGTTAAATAAAGTCATTAACAGAACTACAAAAGAGTAGGTTTCAATCAATTATTGCCAACAGAAAGCTCTGAGTGACATAGCAGTAAAATTCCTTCATCTAGATATAATAAAGCATTATTTGTTCTGATCGTGCAGACCGCTCTAAATGCAATACGTCTTGTCGAGTGTTATTGAGCAACTCGTGGAGTCGAACCCGCTCTGTCAAGGGCAGCGCCCGTCACCGCGCGGCCGCGTGCGTTACGCACCATACCGAGGTCTTTACTTTCCCATCCGACAATAATGCCACAGTTGCACGTGCAACACGGTGCAAGGTTTCTGTTCATACCAATTCATAATCATAATCTTTAACGTGTATAGTTCGGAATTATGGGGAAAACCATTGACAACAACCACAGACTTCAAGAACTCAAGTATGTAGTTTAATTCAGTGACACTTACGTTGGAAAGTACCAATGATTCTATTTTTTAGAAGGATATTTTGCACATTCAGTACCTACATGACTTTTTATTATCATCAATCAGTCAGCTGTAAAAAGGTCTTATACAATACAAATGTATTGTATAAGACCTTAATGTATGCAAATGCATATATGAAATATGACAAGCTCTGACATAATGTACAGATCTGATATAGATATCTAAGACTATGGTGCATCAAAGTCAAGTGTCAGGCATGAAGGGCGCGAGTTCGCAAGTTATGTGGTAACCTACCGCAGTCCAACACATTCCAAGCATACGATCAACCGCGCCCACGATACCAGCAGTATAAGTCGAATGATTGGAATCAAAGCTCTGTGGAACGTCGAGTTACGTTTTTTATTTTGCAGTATAATGTTAATCTTGTTGATGCGAAGAGACATTCATATGGTTAAATGTAATGTGTGTGTATCAAGCCGAACTTAGGTGATACTGTAAGAGTTCAAACAATAAAAGAATCTATCTAAGTAATGTTAAAATAAACAATTGATTTCACTTTTGTCATGTTACCAAGACTTGAAGAGCCAAATACGTATGTTTTCGTTAATATTAGGTACATTACGTTTGAGTCAAGTATACACAATTTACACTAAGTATCTAAACTGTCAGCCTCACAACATGTTCGTTCAAAAGTGGTATGACATGAGTATTTGTACTAAGAGAATTCATAGTCACGCAGACGCGAAGGTATTAGCAGTCCAATGTATGTATGTTTTGTATTATATGTATCTGTACGTAGGTGTGTACCTTAACATAAGGATTTATCATTCTGTAATGTCATATTATGGTTGAGGAGATGTTTAATATTTTAGTTTTTTTTTTATTTAGAGTCTTGGTTATACATTACAAACACTATACAGGACGCATTATTACCATACCATATTTCACCAAAATAACGAGTGTTAATATTCGAATAACTTCCTTAAACGATTTACCGGTAAATAATGAAAAGTTAAGTATTGCATAAATTAGCGGAAAATAATATTAATCAAATCAACCGGTGAAAAAAGGCTAGTGTAAATTTTGTAATACTTCTCCCTAGTCCTCTGAATATGGAGATTAATAGTTAGTTATTTAGATAAAAAAATAAGTATCTAACTTGTCTATGTTGTCTAGAGAGTAACAACTGAAGTAAGTGCAATGTGTAGGTACCCCAGAAATACATGTGTTAAACAGCAAGGAATATAAACAGAACATAGACAATAGCGTTAACAAGCGGCCCAGTTGAGACAAACGGTGGCGTCGGAGCGACGGCGGTGTTTGTCGACCCATTTAACTTGATCACCACTAACACACTCGCCGTCCCCGCACACCACATGATATACAACGCTGATTTATCTTACAATTTACACATTTCTACAGTTTACAGTCAACACTGAGCGATGCTCAAAAGCGCTGCAGCTGCATACTAAACTCCTAGTTACGTCACCTCGGGAATTCCTAAAACAAAACCGTACAAGAATAATAACGCATTTCGAACTTTGTTTAGCGATTTCGTAGCGGCTGAATACACAACGATTATTCGATATCGAGAGCCGAGGCAAATTGTCACAATGACTATACAACAAACGAAACCAAATGAAATGAAACCTTTACAAGTGTTTCATTGACAAATTAAATCTCGTTTTCCTTTTCAATCTTACAACAATCTCGGGGAGAGGGACTGAAAACAGGGTGGTTGTTACGTCTGTGAGGTAAGTACATCTGGTTATCGAGCGTGGGGTGGGTACACTTGTACACTTAGTGAATGTGTATAGTATACTATAGAGTACGTCGGGTAAGTCTGGCCGAGGTTAGGGAAAGAATGTCCGCACCATTAGCCAAGGGGGCAGACGGAACGGGGTGAATGGGCTGTCGAACCCTCCGTCGACCTTGACTCGCCGAGATTTATCACTTTTCCGGGGTAATCTGAATACAATTAGGCGATGGGCAGTCAACGGGCGGGACCGCAGACACGCAACAGGTTCTTGTAACAGGAGCTTTATTCTTTTGCAAGTTTTTTGAGCTCCCTCCGTTACTCAAGACAGCAATGAATTCAAATCTTAAAGTTTAATGAGGACAACGTTTACATTCGACGGCAATAGCTGTTAGGAATTGACCTTTTACTTTTCGCCAGGATTTCAATAAACAATGTTAAATTAAGGTTACGGAAATTTTGTCATTTGTTTACAAGACATAGAGGAAAACCACTTAAGATGGACTTGGCGTGACATAGATGCAATTCTCGCTCTCCAAGGGAGTGCCTTGAAGTTTTCTATATATAAATGAGTTCTGAAAGATCACGTTGATATCAAGTGAATGTGATGACAGAGAAGAAACACCATCACCGGAATATAAATACCTACGTCGTTCCTTGTTCAGAAAAAGTATTCAAAACACACACCAAGGTTCGTTTACGTGAAAACGATCAAAACAAACATTATGGCCGGATCGGAGCAAAAAGCGTTTTGTTTTACCTCTTTTTTTTTCAAAAGAAGGTCGTCGGCCTTGCCAAGGACGTACAAGCACGTGGCTATACATAGGGGCAATTCAGTTAAACGTCAAACACTTGTACCGACCCTCAAACATATGCGTCTGTGAGGGTGAATACTAATACACACAATCAAACACACACTGATCACTTACATTACAACTTTGTAGTAAACGATAAACTACGATAACAGATAATTACCTACATTATGAAACAGAATTAATTAGTGTTACATAAAGGCTACATAACTTAAGTGTTCTTTTGTCAGTATGGGCCATAAATATGCAAATTACCAGTTCAAATCAATGTTTGTTTTATTCTTTTCCTTCCATGTTATTATTGTCTTGGTTGAAAAATCTTGATTTGGCATTGTTTAATTCATGAAACCACACATTGCATGCAATGGATGCAAGATAACAGGAACTTCAAACATTTTCTCAGTATGCAAGCTCGTATACAATACAATTTAAGGTTCGACTTAAGTATAAACCGAAGTAAAACTTACTAAATATAGGTTTCAAATGTCACGGAGAAACAGCGAGCGGCAGCGTTCGACTCGGTCCCAAGAGCCAGCCTTATCTTAGTTGATGGCATTCCACTGCTCGGCGGCCGATACGCACGACGGACGACTGCGAAACGCTTTTAGCGCCCGTATACTGAACAAACGACCGCAGGCCAAGGAATTATCGCCCAACACGACAACACAACAAGGTCTGAAATACCAGAGCCGCGCTTATAGGTACACTTCGTGCAAAAGAAACCTTATTGGTCGAAAATTAAAGTCGTTTTCGAAAGTCACGTTGTATGCGGGCGTCAAACAATACGCAATTCACCTTCGAACGCGTCGGGTTGCGGTATTGCGGCTTCATTGTGTTAAAATAACGATGGAACTTGGATTGGAAACGAGCACAATGCGGTCGATAAACAGAAATTTATTTTTATTTACACATCGATAAAGAATATTACGATCAATCAATGCGACTGCCGCATAGATAAGAGATAATGCATTCTTGTACTTATACTTATTCATAATATACTAAGTATCAAGTAGCTATTTTATAAAATGTCTTATTATTTCAATTTCATATATGTAATTTAAAATAATAGTGACCTACATTTTTAGGCACCGAATACCGATATTATTGATTGAAATTCTTACATGGTAACAAGATTAAGTTGTTATAATTAGCCATTGATTAAAGCCATTCATTGTACAAAAATGATAACAAAATATTATCAAGAGTTATTTTTATAAAGGTACGAAAATATACTTTAGTAATACTAACCGCTCATAAAATAACGTGAGTCAATGGTGGACATTTGAGCATGCAGGCAACATAAAGCAACGTATTTTTCCTCAAACGCATCGTCTATAATTTTCTAGCGCGAGTTCACATATTCACTCGATGTTTGTCGAGAGTCAAGAAGTCCGACGAGCCGAACGGTTGACGTCATACAGTCATGTTAACCTTCTACCACTCCACCAGCTCGTGACAATTTAAATGGCGAGCTGTCGTACATTGGTGCGCGAGTTATCGCTGTGTTTGCAGGCAAGGAACACGAGCAGCATTGGACTTGGAGCTTGTTTGGTTCGTTCGGAACGCTGGAGATACAGTGCGAGGGTGTATTGCGGTCATATAACCGGTATTCGAGTGGCGCGGCAGTCGGAGCTCGGCCAGTCTACAGCCCGATGTTTTGAGAAAGCCACGTTCGGCAATCGGCGACGTTAACAAAACACGATTGCTTTTGCGGTTGCCGTTCGCTACAGCCGGTTTAGGCAAAATACTAAATTGCTTTTTATGATACCTGCATGCATGAGGGCGGCACAATGTTTATTTTGAGGCCAATTACTTCACTCAACCGGGACAAATTGATAACTGTTAACGTTTTGTGTACAAACTTAACCAACCCTGACTTTGATGATCGTCCATATCCAATTAGCATGAGTATAAAAATAATAAGCAAATTACTTGAGGCCTCAGACTATGATAATTGAGTCTTTTGAAACAACAGTATAGAATTTCTTTTAAAAGCGTGACTAGCAAGAATAGGGTAGGTAGTTTCCTAAATTTTATTTTAATGTCCGTCTGGTACATTATTTTAAAACTTTAGATACGTATTTTTTTCTTTTCTCACAAAATTAAATACTTTCGACAATATATTAATTTGAAATATCTTGTGACGTCACAGTGTGCCACATTTTGTAGCGCGTTATGACGTAACAACCTCCCACTCCTAAACTTAGCGTCATTTTATCTAAGTATTGCAACTTAATACGAGAAAATAAAAAATACATGTCTAATATTTTTTCATTATCTAACTGACGGACTAATTACATTTTTAATTTTGATACCATGGAAACTACCCAATTAAAATATAAGAGAAGAGAGGCGTCCATCAAATACATATTGGACGTTGGAAGCATTTTGTACATTACAAAAACAACCAAAGAAATTAATTTTTGTTGAATTTCTGTTTTGTCAAAGTTGACACAATTAAGATTCGGAAAGACATAGTATACCTTCCGAAACGTTTTATTGGAAATAATGTTGAAATCTGGAATTGGAACTTAAATTATACAAGATTCACGTATGTTCATATTATGGGAACTTAAAGGCACATATTGAGAAAAAATTTACCGTGAAATAAAACAATCGAATTTTAATGGTTTGGAATGGTCACCAATCGCAAGTTATTGAACATGCGTGAATACATTTACAAAGCAATTTGCGTTTCGAATATACTTGAAGTATTCGAATCAAAATTACGATCGTTACTGCCTTTTAATTTCTTATTCATGTTTTTAACCAACTATGGAATGGTGCCCATTAGAACAGGGAAATTGTTTTGGGAAGTTTAAAAACGCTATACCGTGGGAGTGGTTTATTCTTCCCATTTCTTCAAGGAAAATCGGAAATAGCAGTGGTGTTAGTAGAAGCAGTAATAATAAGAAGCAGACCAAAATAGATAACTATCAATAGAAAAACATCTCAAAGTCCATAATCTTGTCTGCGTCATACTCTAGCAATAACACCTTTTTGTAAATTGTTAGTTTTCCGGTTTGATTATAGATATTCTGGCATTTTATTTGTTCCTTTTTCGGAATAATCAGAAATAATACTTAAAGAAGTCCTTCGTTGAAAATATGAGCGAAATCAGTATTGCTGTTTGAAGTCAGAAAGCAACACAACCAAACAATAACGTCAATGCAAAATGTTTTGGCTCATTAAGTTACATAAAGTTCGTAATTATTCATCGGTTCATGAATGAAATTGTAGTATTACTCGACTAAACTCAGATGAGAAGGCAAAAGTAGCTGGTAAATGTATAATAAGTACTATATCTACATCAAACAAATCGTGACAGTAAGTATATAAGATGCGGGGTCCCCGGTGGGTGAACCCGTCAAGGTCACTTCGAGGGAAACCCCACAAGGGTGTTCTAGGAATCTTTACATTTCAACAAGATGTAAATTAGAGTGTCAACAAAACCTTTTTAAATATATTAGGATTCGATACGCTACTCGTTGATTAAATATTGAATACGTTCGTGGCACATTAGTCAGCCTATTGAATCACGCTGTCCGTTCCAATTGATCGATCGCGCGAATTCGTCATTTTAAAGCAATCAATAGTAGCTCCACATTTCGATCGGGACTATTAGCTGTTATCAAAATCGTGCCAAGTTCGGCAAAGTAAAAGTTGGTTTCGTTTTTTATGTTGTTATGTAGGTGGGAAGGTTTGTCAATGGTGAGGTCGGTGGCGATCCGGCACATAGGAGCGCCTCGTGGGCCTCAGGGGTAGAAGGTCCTGTTTTGCGTGCTCGTCCCGACCGTCGGTGGGGGTAAGTTTTTCACGAGGCCCTATATACCGCGACCACCCCGACTCGTACATAAGGTGGGCGGGCTGGGGTGGTTCGCGCCCGCAAAAGGGGCAAAATACGGCGTACTCTGGGCGCCCGTTCTATGTGGGTCAATGTCGGGAAAGCCCGTGTCTACCGGTGACGGAGTATGCACAACGATTCTGATCAACACACCCGTGACATAACAAAAGATAAAGCAAAACATCTCAAGAATATAGAAGACCTTAACACCTTGAAATAAGGTTCAAATTCAAAGAGATAACAATCGAAGTGATTCTTCATAGTTCACACTATTGTTTTTCATCAAAACTCATAAAGATTTTCCAAACCAGATCGATTTTACTTCTAACATTGTGTTTAGGATTCATTTTGCTTTACTGCTATATTGCTATAGACATTATACGTGTCAAAATTGAAAAATAGGTGACTAACTATTTGAAATGATGTATACAAATCGATGAAACCCTCAATGCATTCGAATAAACAATCTAGGAAGTTTGATATTTAAAGAGAAATATTTCCAATTGGGATTGAATAGTGTTCCGAAGACGTGTGATTTTGATGGCCTGGAATTGAATATTTACTTACCAACAGCCGGTGACATGGAGCGTGAGCCACTGGAGCCTGTTGGGCTTGGCGTCGGCCTCAGGTGCGGCGTGGTAGCGCGCCCTGCGCCGCCGCTTCCGCCCGAGTCATTGCTGTTCTGACCGGTCAGATCCTGAAATAAAGAAGCAAATTAGAAAATGCAATCAACCACCATCCAACCGCACGATACTTGAGTATTTTAATAAGTTATTAACAAAAGAAATTACTTGAAAATTTATTTTTTAAGATCTCTATCATTTTACTAGAATTTGATATGTTAGTGTTAACAGCACCCTGTTTTCGTTGATTTTTTGGAAGGAACAAAATTGCTAGTTCTTGTGAATTGACAAAAACCGCGATGAGGTCACAGGACCATGAAAATCAGAGTCCATAGATGAATCATTTTCAGCAAATTTTATTTCATATCATGATGGTTTAAGACAACATGAGATAAGAACTGAAAACCACATTTATGAGTTGAGAGCGGTTAAACATGATTCATCTTATCATGATCAAGAATAATAATTGTAATCTAGTACCGTTCTTAAGTTCAAGATCGTGAACCCGGGATCAAACCCAAGTATTACAGTCGGTCCTTCTAGTATTTTTAGGATTTTTGTGAATGGAATGAAGAAAATTTTGCAGGTTTTAGTATTTGAATTCACACGACAGTAACTTGATGCAAACATAATGGGGATAGTTCCAGTATTTGAGTCTTAAGAATTCAGTTTGGATCTCAAGATTGGAACTTGATACCAAGTAATGTTAAACTACATGCCATCACAAAGTTTCAAGCCAAAGTTATTCTGGTAATATATACTTTGGAGTGTGATCCATTTTCGACATCCAGATTTTAGCGTTTTTTTTTAAATTCAGGAAGCCTTGTTGCAAACAACCCATACAAATACGTAGATGTTAGAGAAATCAACGAAGTTGTTTACAACGTTTATAACTCAATCTAACTAACAACTATCAGCACTTTAGCGGTATTTAAGACAAAGACAGTTTAAAGAACAACACAAAAACGGATAAAAACAAGGAACTTCTAAAGTCCGAGTAGCGACTTTAGAAGTTCCTTGTTTTTATCAACTGTTTTTTTTCAGCAAAAAGGATTTATAATCATGAAATAGTGTAAAATATCACAAGCAGATGTTAAAGACAATTCTCATTTACATAATCAACACGGCATAAAGTGTGCATTCTTGTGCCTAGGTGAGATGCCTTGACACTGCAACCTCGGCAGTTAAGAGCAACAATAGCACGCCGAGTCAATAGAGCACGGCCACTTGCGGTAATCGTGTAATAAAACAACGTACGGAATCTCCGCAAACAATGCGCTCGCCACCAACACCAAAATAAAAACAAATGCGGCACACCTCGCGCTAATATTAAACCTGATGCAGATTATCTTTTGTACGGTAACTTAAGTTATGTAACGTAAACCAGCAGTCGTTAAAGTACAATAGAGCAACGAGTTATGCATAATAATGTAAATCCATACGAACTCATAAAAGCTCGACTCGACTAACTATTGTATACAGTTGACAATCATATGATAGTACGTACCGTTTCAGCGTAGTCTGTGTTCGTAGCTCGTAAATCAATCAGTGGTCCTTTTCTATTACAACATACAACGGTAAACGCGATTAGAGCGGGCTTAGAGCGGACGAGAGCAACTGTGCAATGGACGCGTAAATGTTAAGCTTTTTCAAAGTTAAAATCGAGTTGTGTTATAGAGAGAGCGGCGACGGTGCAACGCGTTCTCAACGTTCAAACGGGCTCAACGAGGCAACTCACGACCCCCCGCTGTCGAGGTTAGCTCGCCTGCGAGAGGCTCCGGCGTCGATCAGACGAGTCCGGTCGGTGGGGCGGGGCGCGGGGCGGCGGGGAGCGCGATAACTGCGGCGATGTTTTTGCCCAGCGCTCCAGCTCGCTCGCTCGGCGCACCAGGCGCGTTCTTCATTTCGTACAGAGTCCATTATCTCTAAAGCTGTCCCTCTCGCACTCGTTGCTCGCTTCGTCGCGCCTCGCCGCACCGGCCGCTGTTTTATTGCCAGCCGACGATTTTAACGTGCGCTCGCAACGTCCGCCGGAGCACAAAAGTTTTTATGGAAATTTCATTCCGAATGCGCCTCGCTAGCTTGCTCACTCGGGAACGTCAATATAAAAGCACGATAACGAACGGACGAGTCAATTAATTATTATTGTTGGAAGCTGTCGGGACGTGCTGGGCGGTTCTATCTAGATACAGTATCTGTGCAATGTTTTCAGAGATGTATATTCAGTAAATTGGAAGGGAATTGATACAACATGGGCTACGTAACTATGCTAGACAAGGCTGAATGTTTTGCCATATTAGGAGAAACTCACTGCAATGTTTTATCAAAGTTCGATAGAAACGGCAATAAATAATGTACCGTAAAATAGATCAAACAGATATTATAATGATTGATGAGATACACATTTTTATACTTCGTGGATGGAATCAATAAACCTGTTTGTTTGGCATAGGTATCCTGTAAGATTATGGTAAGATTTTAGGGGGTAGCGTTTTATTTAATTTTGTTAAGTTTCGAACTAAAAACCAAACCGGTTACAACATTCTACAATAAAATACTACGACAAAATCTAGTAAGAAGCTAGAAGAGCTACACCTTCTTCTATTTTAAAGTTTTTAGGGTCCTTAAGATATCAGGAAAATAAAACTTTCAATTAAGAACAAAAACTAAACATTGATCAGCTGTTTGAGTGATTGGGCTACGCCAATTGCGATACGTCAGTCGAGCACGAACGAACGAGATCGGCTTAAATTGACCGACTGCACTTGGCCCAAATCCCGACGCAAATAAACACAAAATCGCTCTTGTTGGTGTGTCTACACAATGTGTGGAGGCTGGCAGTAGCACGGTAAATAGAGGGACTAACGCTACCACATAGACCTACGTAGCCTACGTACTTTATATAGGTGAGGTGCAGTGGGAACGAGGCGACGACGATCATGAAACCCGCTATTGAGCCGAGAGAAACGCTCACGTGGGCCCGACTAACAATGCCGGGTACTTTATACAGGATTGCTGTGGTACAAAGGTTTTGCTTCACAACATGGCTCCTGCTTGTACATCGAAATAGCGCGTCTTCTTTAATCTTTTAGGGCTTATATTGTTGTCTAGCACAATTTTCATTTTCTTAGGTGTACCTACACCATATCCCAAATTCGCTTTCCAACTATGTTCTCATAATCACACTCGCCGTCAGTGTAATCGTACATGTTCGTAGCTCGGTGTTTCTAAATCGTGCATTTCTGTTTGATTCAAAGACGTCGGTTGGTAAATCTTCATATTAATATCTGGTAGGCTAGGTCAGTGGCACGGCACGGCTCCAGAGTGACGTGCGTTATAAATAGCGCTAATGGGCGATGAAGCTCATCTAAATAACCGCAAATCCCCTGCCTTGCAGTCAAACGTTACTAACATAGACGCTTCATTTTGCACGGTCTTCACCGCAATTTAATGTTTTAGAGGCCAAAATCAATAACCGATGTAAATTCACAATGTATGGGTCGATTTAAATTTGTGAAACGTTTTGTGACAGAAATTCAAAAAGTCAAAAATCGATCTAAGATTTTGGATAGACATCTGTTATCATTTGAGCCTATGGTAAAGTAGTAAGATAAGACAATACACATAAGACATAAGACAAGACTGCATTAGAGGTAATTGAAATTTGCAAACTGCTAGCTAGCTAGTATAATGTTACGGAAGACCAAATCTAGCTTGAGCCCTTTCTGGTTGGGAAGTTGGTAACTGAGCATATATTGAAGAAACTTCAAAGTCGTCGACAATTATCGTTGCCCATCAACATTATGTGACAACAAAAATCTAACATCAAATGAGACATGTCGAGATTAATCAGTGTAAATGCGTTCCAAGACCATTCAAGAGTTCGTCGACCGGCGTGCGAAAATGTTGTCGTAAATAAATAATTCACAAGGCTAGTGTTCTCGGTTGGGGCACGTGGTACCGGCCACGTGTAGTAGGTACGCGTAAACATTTACATTACATAACCGGCTCGTCATCGACGACCGCGCGCTATTGAGAGCGAAATGCTGTGCAACTCTTACGAATCGTTGCACTGAACTCCAACTTACCCCACTTCAATACGATGCTCTTCACCGTTTTAGCCTGTTCTCTCACTGAAGTATCATAATAAACACAATATGCTTATCAAATTTCTCGTTAATATTATTTACGCAGATATTAGGAATGTCTTATAGGTTATTCACGGAGAGCCAAGATATTGCAATTCAACAAGTCTTTCATTACAAACAAGACTGGGGGTGGGCAAATAAAAGGTAAACAAAAAGGGTGTTTAGTGATGTTTTGTGTAGGGACGAGGTAGTGCGTAGTGCCTGGGATGCCAGGCCGACAAAAATCTTACACGGCCCGTACAATTATATACAACGTACCACGTGGAACAGGGAGACAGTGAGAAGGTCGCGACCCTTTCCCACCCCACACCTTTATTCGTTCAAAGTTAATTTGCATACGTAGGTACTACAGTTTTGTGCTACCTGGAGCTCAGGATAAAGCACTATCTAGACTGCATCATCTGTAGCTGCCACTATACTTCGTGCGCTGTAGCATGGTGCGGGTGACAGTTGCCTGTATGACGTTGACATCTGTCAGTACCTCATGACTAGGGAAGTGACGTTTAGCAATTCATTTTTATCTCAGACGATATGCGCTGCATATATCTAGTTCGCTTGAAAACTGGTCAAAGGTCGTAAATAAAATAAAAAGGGAAATTATGTCTGATTGGGATCGTGACATTCATATTGACATCGTGATGGATTCATCGTTAATAATATCTGTCAAAGATTCAGATGACGAATTTAGTGACAATTCATATGTTACAGACTCTGATGAATGTTCAGACGAATAAAATAAGATACTTATTTGTGTAATTCTTATTAGCAATTTGATTTTAATTCATTATTTAAAAAATATTGTATTCGTAGAAGTAAGCCTACCCTACAAATGTTCTGATATTTAATTTATCTATTTATAGACTTTTTAACAATAAAAATTGAACTGCGCACAATCTACCTTTTTTTTATTATACAAATATCGACTA